GTGGACTCAAGCGTGGCAACAGTAGTGAGGTTGGTCCAGATTCAGGCAGTGTTTCATTCTGCTGTGCATAAGGTTGCTATGAGCTGGTACCGACTCGATGGCACCTAACAACAACATCATCAAGTCGATTCTGAGTCGTGGTGACCGTACAGGACAGAGTGGAACTGCTCCTTAAGGGTTCCGAGACGATTAATCTATATCACAACAGACAGCCTCCTCGTCATTCTCCCTCACAGTGGCTGCTGGGTTTGAACCACCAACCTTAGGGTTAGCAGCCCAGTGTTTAATCCACTGTGCCTACGTTTTTGTTGAGGGTGAGGGAAGTGAAGGTCACACAACAGTGTGAATATTATCAATGCCACTGAATCTATACATAAAAGTGGTTGGCATGGCAAATGTAAAAAATATAAATATGCACATTTCACTATATTTGAGAGAGAATTTGAGAGTCTAAACTGCTTTAGGAGTCCTGGTGTGGCACTGTGGGCTAAGGCGTCAGACTGCAAAGTCATTTGAACTGCAATGTCAGTGGTTCAAGCTCACCAGCTGCTCCTTGGAAACCCTATACAGGGTCACTATGGGTCGGAATCGACTTGACGGCACTTCACAACCACAAACTCCTTTAAATCACCAGGAAATCGTAAGCCCAGGCAACCCTGTGTCCTCAGTGGCAGAGCTGGGGTCTTTCGAAGAGGAAGACTGAGTCCGTTATAGCAAAGCCAGGGTCTCCATCGAGCTGTTCCCCGGGGTACCCCCAGTACCCCACCAGGGCCTGACAAAAAGCCCTCTGGCAGCTTCAGGGCACACGGCTTGTCACCCCATCAGACCAAGTGGGACGGTTACTAGGCCGATTCTGCAGATGAAGAAACTGAGGCTCCGAGCAGAGACCAGCTGTTACAAGTCCCCAGGGAACGTGTCTTGTGCTTTATGGATGCGACAAGAACCAGCCCCCATAATACCTAGAAGGAGTGATGTTAAACGCATTTTATGCTTGGGGGTGAGTGTGGGCAAGGGAACCATAAATGCCTTTATCACAGAAGTCTAGAAGTAACTGGGCCTTTTTGTTTTAAAATAAAACTTTTAATTGTGAATTGAATGAGGTTTACAGAGATCATCATGTCCCACAAATCACACTCTTTGTTTCAGCTGTGACTGTAAGTCCCTCAGGTTCCATTGATTATCCCACAAACTCCCTGTGAGTCGTTTGCCTCCTTGCCCCGTCCTTCTGAAGGCAGTCTCTGGGCAAATGGTTGATTGTTCTAAGGAGCGTGTGCCTCCCTAGTGTTTTGTTCCCTTTAGAGAACTGTCTGTTGTGTGGCGCTATAGGGTAAGCACAAGATCACAAGGTCGATTCGGACCATAAAGTCGGTTCGAACCACAAGTTTGGCAGTTCAAACCCACCAGTCGCTCCTCGGAAACCCCATACAGGGTTGCTGTGAGTCGGAATCCATTCCATGCAATTAACATTGTTAAGGAGGGCTTGAAATCACCAACAATCTCCTCTCTCAGCTGTAGGCTGTTGAGATTCCCAAGAGGCACACCTGATGGTCCAGCTCACCTGTTGGCACGTGGCACACAGTCCAGGCTTGGGGCAATGCGCCCACCTGCAGTCCAATGCCAGTGGGAAAGGACTATGGTGCCACACTGCCACCTAGAGCGCATTATGAGTATTGCATCCAGCATCTCTTGGTCTCAGGGCTCCATCCACCTTAGCACCAGTGTTTATTTGGCAAGAGGCTGCCCCCCTACAGAGGACCCAGGGGGCATGTTCAAGCCCACCAGGCGGGCACTTTCATCCCAGAGCCTCCGGGCTACCGCCTCATCCTCAGCCTCGGGGGCCGGGGTCTGCTCTTTGAGCCCACTGAAGTACTTTCCGGAAACGCCCTCCAATTCCTTGGCCACCGCCAGGTAGGTGCTGGGTTGGGCCGCCAGCTGGGGGCTCTTGACCAGCAACCAGAAGATGGGCCCTGCATAGAAGACAGTACTGAGGACCCGCTCGACCCTCAAGGGTCACCCTGGAGCTCCAGAGACCCCCAAGGAGCAAACCTCTACCAGTGGCTTCCTCCCTGTCTCCCAAATCAATGGTTACTAACTGCCGTAATTCTCTAGTCAAATCCGGCTCACGGCGCCCCCGTGTGTGTCAGAAAGGAACTGCTCCATACGGTTTTCAAGGCTGTGACCTTAAAGCAGATTGCCAGACCTCTCTTCTGAGGTGCCTCAGGTGGGTTCAAATCGTCAATATTTCGTCAGGTGATCAGGGTCCACCACAAAAGCTGCCTTCTCCAGAGAGCCTTCCCTGCTTCCCCACTCCATCCCACCCCCCAGGCAAACAAAGCTAAGCTCTCCCTCCTCTTGTCTCTCCCCATTAAAATAATTTTTCATTAAGATCATTTGTATTACTTGGCTCCATCCTGAGCAGCTGCCACTTAAGATTCCCAATATCTAGCACACACGATTGGAAGAAAGTCCTGGAGATGGGCTTCTGAAAGGTCATGGGAAGTCCTATGGAACACAGTTCTGTTCTGACACACGTAGAGTCGCCGTGAATCACAATCGACCCAAGAGCAACAGGTGGTAGTGGTGGAGTCGGTTCTGACCCATAGTGACCCTGTACATGTTACCCAGGCTGTAAATCTTTACGGGAACAGAAAGCCTCATCTTTCTCCCGTGGGACAGCTGGTAGTTTAGAACTGACCTTGAAGTTAGCAGTAACGACTACCCTACGAGAGTTCCTGGCAATAGGTGGTGATGGTGGTTATGTGTCATGGAGTCAGTTCTGACTCATAGCAAGTCTGTACAGAGTTTCGGAGGCTGTAAATCTTTATGGGAGCAAAAAGCCTCATCATTCTCCAGTGGAACGGCTGGTAGTTTCGAACTGCTGACCTTGCGGTTCACAGCCCGATTCGTAACCACTACGCTACCAGAGCTCCTTGCAAAAGGTGGCAGTAGGCACTTAATCATAACCCATTTCTGTTGCCACGGAGTCAAATCCAGTTACAGCGACCCGGCAGAGGGTTTCCAGGGTTGTAAACCTTTATGCAAGCAGGCAGCCTCATCTTTCTCCTGTGGAGCAGCTGGTGGGTTTGAACCACCGACCTTGCCGTGAGCCATCCAGTGCTACCCTATAGCACCACCAGCTCTCCTTTGCTAGCTCATAGTCATCTTTTTCCTTCATCAGCCCCAAGGTCTCTTGAACTCACAGTCCAAATAAACACGGAACGATGATTCATCTTTTGATGATTCATCTTTTGCACCCAGGGGAGATGGAAAGGCCCTGGGAGGGTCCTGGGACCCCAGGCTGGGAGGGTAGGAGCAGGGGGCTTGGCAGAGGGGCCCCAGGCAAGGAGGGGACTCACCGAGTGTGACGCTGGACAAGGAGGACTTGTGCATGGCTGTGTGTCGGCCCAGCTCCGTCCTGGCCACGCCTGGATGAAGCGCATTGGCGGTCACACCCGTTCCTGGGCAGGAAGTGAAGAGTCAGAAAGGCCAGGCTGTCCCCACTCCTTCTCTGGGTCCTGCCCACCCTAAACTCCTTCCTTTTCTCCAGTTGTCATGACGTCATTTACTGGTCCAACTGTGAGGTTTTTTGTTTCCTTTATACTGAGGTGCAATCCACACTGGAGGCTGTGGTCTTTGACCTTCATCAGTTAGTATTTCAAGTTCTCTTTGCTGCCACTGAGCAAAGTTGTATCCTCTGCACATGGCAGGGAGGTCATGAGTCCTCCTCCAATTCTGATGCCACATTCTTCTTCATAGAATCCAGCTTCTCAGATTATTTGCTCAGCGTACAGATTGAGTAAGTGTAGTTCAAAAGATACAGCCCTGGCGCACACCTTTCCTGACTTAAACCATTCGGTGCCCCCTGTTCTGTTCTCTAGGAGACTGGTGCTGCCCACCCTGAACTCCTCCTGGGCCTTCCCCGAGCGATGCTGTTTCTAGACCTTGCCTCTCACTGTTAGGAGCTGCCAAATCCATCCTAACTCATGGTGGGGTTTTCTAGGCTGTAATCTTTACGGGAACAGATTGTTAGGTCTTTTCTCCCACAGAGGCAGAAAAACAACCAAGTCTGTCTTGGAAGAAATACAGCCAGAATGTTCCTTAGAAGCCAGGATGGGGAGAGTTCACCTCACGTACCTTGGGCATGCCATCAGGAGGCACCGACCCTGGAGAAGGGCATCATAAAGTGGAGGGTCAGTGACACAGAGGACGACCCTCAACAACATGGAATGATACAGAGACTGCAACATCAGGCCAGAACACAGCAACAAGTATGAGATAGTGCCAGACCAGGCAGTGTTTTGTTCTGTGGCAGATGCTTTCCAATATTCCCCGGGGGCATAGAGCACCAAAGCTTAACTGTCTGTCCAGGTTCAGCAGAGAAGAATGCTGTGATTGATTAGTGATGTCTGCTTCAGGCACCAGAAGGCAGTATGGTGGTATGTGTGCCATATATAGTTACTTTTTCCCCCTCAATTCATGACCTCCCACCTACCGAGGTCACAGCAGGACTGTCCCACACCCAGAGCTACAGGAAGAGGGGAGCCCATCCTTGCCCCCCACGCACCTTGCAGCCGCCGGCTCAGCTCCTTGGTGAAGAGGACCACAGCCAACTTGCTCTGGCAGTAGGCAGCTTTGGTGTCGTACTTCTTCTGCTCCCAGTTCAGATCGTCAAAGTCTATGTGTCCCACAACGTGCGCCAAAGAGGACAGGTTGATGATCCGTGAAGGGGCTGAGGCTTTCAGCTTGTCCAACAGCAAGTTTGTCAAAAGAAAGTGACCTGGAGGAAGAGAAACTTTTTTTTTTTAAACTTTTTTTGAACACTTCTCACATGCCCAGAACTGTACTGAGAATATTATCTTATTTCATCCTTATAGATCGAACTGTTTCCCCAAAAAATATGTTTGTGAATCCTGAGATCAGCATTGGACTGTGAACTACAAGGTTCCAACTGCTTCTTGGAAACCCTATACAGGGTCGCTGTGAGTCGGAACCGACTCAACGGTACTTACCAACACCACCACACTTCTACTTTAGTTACTACATTTTTACACAAATGACACACACGTGTTATATGGTCTTTTGTAAACCTCACGGGCCCCTTACCTATTAGTTTTCTGTGTGCATTATACATGTTTGGTGCATGTGCATGCTATCTACTTAGTCATGTTATATATTGTATGCAACAATACCTACTGATGAAGATCAAAGATTAATTATACCTCAACATGAAGAATGCAAAAGTCATCCCAACTGGACCAATAAACAACATCATGATACACGGAGAAAAGATGAAGTTGCTAAGAATGTCATTTTAGTTGGGGCCGTAATCAACACTCACGGAAGCAAGAAGTGAAGAAATCATACTCCCTATTGCATTGGGCAATTCTGCTGCAGAAGACTTTGTTAAAGTGTTCAAATGCAAAGTGTGAGGACTAAGGTGCGCATGTAAAAACTGAACAATAAACACATAAGGAAGACAGGAGAAGTGACGCATTTGAGTTACGGTGTTGGCAAAGCATTCTGAGAATACCATGGTCTGCCAGGAGAACAAGTAAATCTGTCTCGGAAAAAACACAACCAGAATGCTTCGTAGAAGCAAAGACATCGACATTTCGTGTCACATACTTTGGACATGTTGTCAGGAGGGACTGGCCCCTGGAGAAGGACATCGTGCTTGGTAAAATAGAGGCTCAGCAAAAAAAAGAGGGAGACCCCCAACAAGATGGATTGATACTGTGGTAGCAGCCGTGGTCTCAAACATAAATGATGATGAGGCTGGTTCAGGCCCGGGCAGGGGTTCGTTCTGTTGTGCCCAGAGCCAACTCAGTCATCTCCACCAACAGCGTATGGGTTAAAGTTGATCATAAAAAGTATTTTATCTTTGCTTTTCATTTCACTTTTTGAAAATTTTCTAGCACAGTTTATGGAAGCATGGGGTTCATGACCATTTGGAAATTCTTAAAAAGACAAAAATTAGTACCTTCTCCAGAGAGCTTGAGAAGTCTGCTTTGCCTCTTGAAGCTGCATTATAATTGTTTCTTCTCCAAACATTCATTTATCTATTTCCTTTGTTGACAGATCTTTTGTTTTGTTTTGTTTTTTTTAATTACATTTTATATATATACAGATGATGATGACTTGGATGAAGGTTTACAGAGCAAAATGCTTTTTAACTCAACAACTCACACACACGAGAGAGCTTCGAATGGTTTGTGGAAAAATTCCATTATTTTTCCATTCCAGTTTTCCATGAACTTTTTGAAGGCCTCTTTGTACTTTGTTTTGTGACATTTGTGACAATCCCCACGATGCATCTCTTCCTGCTTCCTCCCTGTGTGTGTTTCCATCCCTCCACCTTTCCTAGGCCTTCCTGCCTCTGAGCTTTATCACGGGACAAACGTTGCCCTTTTGATCCGTCGGTTTGTGTTCTGAGGCGTACTTTCCTGCTGCTACGGTTCACGTTATAGGCCCATCTATTGTTGGGCTGAAGAGAGTTTTGTTTTCTTTTATTTCTGAAATGTTTCATTCTTATATAAGCAGCATTTTACCACCTGGGCAATACTTGCATTTGGGCTGGATTGTTCTCCATGATTGGGGGCTGTCCTGAGCATTGCAGGACACTGACAAGCATCTCTGGCCTCCATGCACTAGATGACAGTAGCTCTCCCACCCCCAAATTGTTGTTAAAAAATATCAAAACCATCAGGTTGATTTTGATTCATCACAACCTCTAGGTTTTTACTGACTGTGATGGTAACAGGTACAACCCACCAGGTCGTCCTCCCACCGAGTGGCTGTGGGGACTCGAACCACCAACCTAACAGTTAGCAGGTGAGCATTCAGTCATTGTGCCGCACTTGTCTCCAGACACAGCCAGATGCCCTCTGAGGTGCAAACGTTCCCAAGTGAGAACACTCTCATTCAGTAAAAGACGGCACATCAACACAAATACCTTCAAGGTGGCTTCCAAAACGGGGGGGAAAATGGAAGGAAAAGGGAATGTCATGTTTGCCCGTACTTTGTGAAGGCCTCTCATATTTGTTACATGAATGAATGGCAGGGAGAGAGAGGGCAGACAATAGGGACACTCCGCTCATGGCTCTGTGTGTGTGTGTGAATGTAAGGTCAATATATAACGTACCATACAAAGGGCTTGAAAAGTTTGTGGGAAAATTCATTAATCTTTTCATTCCATTTTCCCATGAACCTTTTGAAACCCCTTCATACCCAAGATCAAAAGAACAGCATTTTACCAGGGATAGAGCTCCGAAGGCAGGAAGGAATGGAAAAAGGGATGAATGGAGACAGGAACAGGGAGACCGTCGGAAGAGCACTGTTACATCTTTGTGGGGTTGTAATCAATGATCCAAAACAAAATGTGTATGAATTACTGAATGGGACACCAATTTCCTCTGTGAATTTTCACACACACAAGAAAAAACATATAGATGAGTCTTGGTGTGGTGCTGGACACAAACCCACCAGCTGCTCTTGGAAACTCTATACAGGAACTGACTCGACAGCATACAACAACCAACCGCAAGGTTAGCGGTTCAAACCCACCAGCCGCTCCTCAGAAACCCTATATAGGGTCACTCTGAGTTGGAGTGACTCAGCAGCACTTAACGATAGGAATATACACCTATAGACATGTGTATGTAAACACACACACATATGTATATAGACACGTGTATGTAAACACACACATATGTATAGAGACATGTGTATGTAAAAACACACACGAATGTATATATACGTGTGTGTAAACACACGTGTGTATATATAGGCATGTGTATGTAAGCACATGCATGTATGTATATATGCATGCATGTAAATGCACATGTATATATACACTGCATAAACACATGTGTATATAGACATGTGCTGTAAACACGCGTATGTGTATAGGCATGTATGTAAACATGCATGTATATACATGTGTGTAAACACGTGTTTGTGCATATACACGTGTGTAAGAACACTCGTGTATGTATACATGTGCATGTAAACACACGTATGTATGTAGACATGTGTGCAGACACACGTATGTATATATGCATGTGTATGTAAAACACATGTGTATATATACATGTGTATGTAAAGACATACACACATTATATATACATGTGTATGTAAACACACGCATGTATATATGCATGTGTATGTAAAAACACACATATGTATATACATGTGTATGTAAACACACGCATGTATATATACATGTGTATGTAAAAACACAGGTGTATATATACGTGTGTATGTAAAGACATACACACATGTATATATACATGTGCATGTAAACACACGCATGTATATATACATGTGTATGTAAACACGCGCATGTATATATGCATGTGTATGTAAACACACGCATGTATATATGCATGTGTATGTAAGCACACATATGTATATATACATGTGTATGTAAACACACGCATGTATATATGCGTGTGTATGTAAACCCACACATATGTATATATGCATGTGTATGTGAACACACACGCATGTGTATATATACATGTGTATGTAAACCCACACATATGTATATACATGTGTAATAAAACATTTTTCCATTTCAACAATCATCATGTCAGTTCAAGGATGTTTACTGTGCTCATTACGTTGTTCAACCAACACCAACATCATGAGCGTTCCCAAGCTCACACCATGGCCCTCAAGGCCCTGTGAGAAGGTCAGACCCCACTGCCCCCACCAAGCTCATCTCCCTCCATGCAGCCCCCGCTGTCAGCTCCAATCACACTGGCCTTCCCACAGCCCCCGAGGACACCAAGAGTGCTCCCACCCAGAGTCTAGTGAGCACAGGCTCGGGGTGAGAGGTCAGCTCATCTCTCCACATCCGTCCTCAGGGAAGCCTCCCTACCACACAACCCAGACCAGTGACTGATGACAGGAGACTGACCAACAGAATAAAGGGCAGACTGAGGAATGAAGACATCTGAGGATTTCCCGAGAGGCTGAGAGGCAGACACTGAGGCTGAGCGGAGTGGGAGAGGTCAGCAGTACTGATGGGGGACTAAGCGAAGGTGCCTCCCAGGGTCTGGGACCCAGTCACGACAGACCCACCCACAGCGCATCCACGCCCTGACCTCACCCAGGTAATTCACGCCAAACTGCATCTCGAAGCCATCCTCGGTACTCCAGTGGGGACAGCGCATCACGGCCGCGTTGTTGACCAGAATGTCCACACGCTCCTCCTCTGGAAGACAGGGGTCAGGGAGGCGCATGGGCTGCATGTCTGTGACACCCGCTCCACGTCGAGCACAACGCCCCCTGTCGGAGTTCCTTAGTGTGGGTATGACAAAATGCCACCAGTGAGCGGCCTCAGTAAGCGGAGACTCATTCTCACAGACTCTAGGAGGCTAGAAGTCGCAGTTCAGGGTGCCAGCTCTTGGGGCAAAAGGCTCTAGGGGAAGGTCCTCATCTCTTAGCATCCTCTGTTCCTCCTCCATCTCTACCTGCCTTCTTGTTGTTGTTAAGTGCCGTTGAGTCAGTTCCAACTCATAGCGACCCTATAAAGGGTTTCCGAAGAACGTGTGGTGGGTTTGAATCACCATCTGTGGTTCAAAGATGATGCAAACAGCTACAAGCCAGAAGGTTCATGGTTCGAACCCACTCAGAAGCATCAACCTGTAATTATCCAACAGCAACACACCAGGATAATTACAGCAGATCGTAAAATGGAAGATATTTACAAAATACCACGAATCACGGTTCAGCCGTGTTGACATCTATATTGGGGGCACACAATTTAATCTGCAGCATTAGCGCAAATGGTTAAGCATTCAACCTGCTGAAACACTGGCAGCTCAAGCCCACCCAGACATGCTTCAGCAGGGAGGCCTACTAATCGGCTTCTGGAAGGTCACAGCCTTGAAAATCGTAGGAAACACGGCTCTACTCTGACACACACGAGAGGGCATCACGGGTAAGACTCACGTTTTATAATCCGACTTGTAAAGCCAGCACCAATAAATAACATAAGCCCCAAAGCTGGACAAACAAGGGTTCAAATCCCAGCTCTATCCCTGATCAGCTGTGTGTCCCTGACCAAGTCACATAGCTTCTCTGTGATTCAGTTTTTCAAAAGAGATAATAGTATCGGCCTGGCCGCCTGCTTGATAACTTTTCATACAAGTTATTTTCTAAGCACTGGAAACACAGGGTGAATAACACAAGAGTCCTGGCTCCTCCCCTTGTGGATTTCACAATTCTAAGCAGTTAAGAATTCAAATGCATGACCCAATACACATCAAATCAAACCCACTGGCAGCAAGTCAATTTCAACTCCTAGTAACGCTCCCTGGGCAGAGGAGAAGTACAACAGCTCCTCAGGGCCTACAAGACAAGACTGCTCATTGCTGTGGGCACCGACAGCCTCAGCTCTCGCCCGTGGAGGTGCCAGTGGGTTTGAGGTATGGGCTTTGCAGTTGGACACCCAACACTTAGCCCCCACAGCACCACCAAATTCAAGGGGGCTTCAAGAGAGCTGGTGGGAAAATTCCATCATCTTTCCATATCCTTTTTTCACAGACTTTTTGAAGCCCGCTCATACATGAGGAACCCTTGAGTGGTAAGAATTGTAAGTTCATGGGTGTAGCAGTCAAGAAGTCAGGTGGCTCACTGCAGCAGGCAATGTGGCTGCTGCAAACAGCTACAAGCTGGAAGGTTGATGGTTCGAACCCACTCAGAAGCACCTCAGAAGAAAAGCCTGGTAATCTACTTCTAAAATATCAGCCACTGAAAACTCCACGGAGCACAGTTTTCCTCGGACACACAGCGGGTAGACAGGGGTCAGAATCCATTCAACAAGTTAGGTTTTTTTTGTTTGTTTGTTTTTTGTTTTAACAAGTATTGTTTGTGTCACTACTAAGCACATGCTTTCCACTTCATATTACAGTCATCAGTACAAGAAAGCTAATCTCTTGGACAAAGGCATGTCCTTTCACCTTCCTATCCGCCACAAAGGAATCCCTGGGTGGCATAAACAGTTAAGCCCTGGACTATGAGCTGAAAGGTTGATGGTTCAAACCCACCCAGAGGTTCTTCAGAAGAAAGGACTGGCTAAATACTTCCAAAAAGCCATTGCCTTGGGTGATAGTTAAGGTTCTGTGTCAGCTTGGCTGGGCCGAATTCTCAGTGGTTTAGTAATTCAGATGTCGTTTTCAGCTCCGTGATGTGATCCGATATAATACAATCAACCCCGTGATGTGATTGGATAAAATCAGCCCTGATATGCTGTAATTATCTTATGTGTGGTAACTCCTCACTTCCAGGATGCTGATGAGGTTGGATACAATCTACGGGACGAGACTGTATCTTGAGCCAACCTCTTTTGAGACAGAAATGGACAGAGAGATGAGCAGAGGAAAAGGACCCATGAAAGAATGGGAATAGCGTGAGTCCTTTGGATCTGGGGTCTTTGCACGGTGAAGCTGCTGGATCCGGGGGAAGACTGATGCTGAGACACAAGGGTCCGGGGGAAGACTGATGCCGAGACACAGGATCCGGGGGAAGACTGATGCCGAGACACAAGGATCCAGGGGAAGACTGATGCCGAGACACAAGGATCCGGGGGAAGACTGATGCCGAGACAC